CATTCCTGAATGTGGTGTGACATACTGAGGTATTGCTGAGTCCTGGAGTACTCATGGCGTGATTGATATAAGAGATGTTGTCTTCTATGTGTGGCATGAGGCTACTAAGCTAGGATAGTCCCTGCACCCACCTGTGTAACCTTGTTTTCTTGTATTTGAGATGTCCTTCTGGGGACTGAAGGACAGCCCTGGATTGCTGTGAGGACTTGCATTGAAGGTGTATCACTCATGCTACCCTTTAATGGGTGTGCTGTGTTCCCTGCCTTGTATTCTTCTGCAAAACTGAGTAAACTGGTGAGGGGATGCCTTTTGGAGCCTTATGAGTATGATTGTCTAGGTGAACCCCAAACTATAGCTGCTGGTCAAGCAGAGCGAGTATTGACGTAGGGCCTTGGAAGTGGGATAGACTTTTGGACCTTGACTCAAATGTGCCAGCGCATTCTGAGATAAAAGAGAACAGGTAGAGAAGTGCTGATGAGATTATACCTGTGAGATGGAGTGGGGAGGGGAGCTGGTCCACTTTTGATTTAATGGCAGAAGCTATGTGGCCACTGAGATCCCTGGGGCACAAAATTTAAGGACGTCTTCATGCTTAGGGTCATATACTTGCACAACCTGCACCTGCATGATCCTAAGAGCGAGTGCCTCCTTAAATTTTGCACTCTAAACACCTCATTTGCCTCACCTTAGTCCTGGCCCTGAGTTGGAAGTTAGACCAACTGTTCTCCTTGAGGGGGCAGATGAAGACTGAAGCGAGCAAATTTATGTTGCGAGGAAGAGTGCCCATTTCCCTCGCCCAGCCATACACTGGACCTGACCAAAAACGAAGCCAGTTGGAGCCACTTCATACCAGCTTACGGGAGCTGACTGTGGGCATATATCTCTTGGCAATTCCTCATACATCACGATGGCTTGAAATTGGCCGTGGATGAGAGTTATACCATGGACATCAGCAAACCCTACAAATCAGAACCCCCATTCTCCACCCCAGAACCTGTTCAATTTTACCAGCACATTATAGCCAGAAACCCAGTTGCAGCTGGGCTGACAAAATGATACCACTTTTGGTGCTTCTAATGCACTCAGCCAAATGCTTTTTCTGGAGGCATTGGCTCTGCAGAAACCCTGGCTACGGTAGCTGCAGTAGGCCAGATCAGTCACTCGTGTCTGGTTGATGAACAGAGGTGGGCAGTGGAGCCCACAGAGTTCATGTTTGTGAGTAGCATTACGATAAACGAAAGGGGGTGGAGCCGCTGGCTTGATTCAGAATGAGCCAAGTCTCAGACCTACGTGGGGAGGTGTGTGATGAGCCCAGTGTGAGGAAAGGGAAGGAGAGTGGGCAGACTTCTGCGGGCCTCTGCCCAGAAGGGCAGGCAGAGGCTACACAGCAGGTTAATGTTCAAACCAGCCACAAGGGAAAACCTCCGCGGAGGCTCCCCTGTGCTATTTGTTCGGCGAGCTCTGGCCAAGTCAGGCCACTGCACTTGATTGTGTTGCTTTACCTCTAAACTGGAGTCTGACCAGTGTCCTCTGCTGCCATCTGGAGGTGACTAATGGGAACTCAGGATCAAAAACCCTGAAGTGATCATTAAAGCTAGGCTATTTGAAACTCTATGAAGGATAATAACCGGGGGTTTTAAAAGCCCAAGCCAGGAGGATATAATCAGAACCTTGTTCCACTGTGACTGAATATACCTCTGGATGTAAAAAGGCAGCATTTATGAAAGTGATTAAAAAATTATACTGTGCTAAATTTAGTGTGCCAACACAGTCCTGTGCTGTTACTTTAAACTTGCTTGTGATTTTCAAGATAAAAATGTATGTGGGCCTTACAAAAACTAGTTAGCTAAAGAAAATAGTTCAGTTGGTTAGGAAGTGGAGAGGATAATTCCTGGTGGTCAAAGATACTCATATTAATCCAAGATAATGGGAGTAAGTAAATGGTAACAAAACCCTTGATCCGTCCTTATGGGAAAATTACCACAGGTTACCCTTCTTTTATACTGTTTTTCTAGAAAACTTGATAAAAGTAGAATGTCAGCTGTGTAATCAGGCTGCATTCCTCATCGTTTAAAATGACCCCATCTGAAAACTGCACTTGGATTGGGAGGACTATAGATGAATTATAAATACCTGGTAGGAAGCCATAGCTTTGAGATTTCATGCACCTTACAGTGTAGATATAATATGATTTATTGGAAGAAAACTTATAAGCAGAGAAATAGTAGAGTATACCTCATCCCCTGAACTCTCATTATTTTACAGAACAGGCTGGTCATAGATCATCTGGTATTTTGGACAGTATTTCTATAGAGAGGGACCAGAGGGTATATATGTAAATATATTTTACATATTAATAGAGTCATGGGGGCAAGGAATATCAGTGTTCCCTGACTGCAAAAGTAATCTTGTTAGAAATGAAGAGCCCCTGAACTCCAGTGGCTGGTGTTAGTCTATTTTGTTGAGCTTACTCAGACCTGTTCAGGCAACTCTCTGCTAAGCCATCAAAAGGGGGAAAGAAGATGAACCTACAGAGCTATCCAGATTTATTTTTTATAAATCCACCCCTAGCACTTGAGGGTTCATCAAATATAAGTACCTTCATTGGTTCTGATGGACACTCTTTTAGCCTTCCCTGGGAGTAGCGAAGCTTCTGTGTTGTTGTCTGGGATTGGGGATTCAACAAGATTCCGTATAGATAAACCAGATAGGAAGTGACATATCACATATCTATCACCTC